GGAAGCGAAAAGCGTTGATCCTTACAAGGTACGTTTTTTTTCCAATTTCACCGAAATTTCCTCCCAAAATGAGTTTTATCTCGTTTTTCTATCATTCACGAGTCTCTTCATTGGGGGGGGGGGGGGCGGAATTCGATTCTTTCTTTATAATTGAAGGTTTCCCTTTGTTCGCTCTGATGGGTTTCGAGTATTTGTGAAATTCGATGATTATATTCGTTGATCGTAATTGGTGGTGACTTCGAAATCATATTTGGGGACTAGGGCTTGAGTACAAATTAGGCTCTGTACTTGGGCTGGGAAATTTTGGGTGTTGTAAGCAGGAAAGATTCTTGATTTGATTAGGTTTTGCTCAGCATTCTTGGCATTGATTAAAAAGGTTATTTGTTAATGCATAAATTTTAAACGTTTTATTATGATTCTTCAGATTCTTGGAGTATCTCGGGATGCAAAGCAGCGTGAAATCCAGAAAGCTTTCCACAAGTACGTCTCCTTCTATTCTAGTCACTAGTTAAGTTAAGAAGTCGAATCAATGATCAACAAAAAAAAAGGTCATTTTACTCATTTAGGTTGTGATTTTTTTTTTCTCTGTAGGCTATCTCTGAAGTATCACCCAGATAAAAACAAAAACAAGGATGCTCAGGAGAAGTTTGCTGAGATTAATAATGGTGGGTAATCTACTTTCAGTGTCGATATTGCTAATTTCCTGTAAATGAATCTTTGAGTACATTTAAAGATTGTAACTTGCTTTGTAGCCATGGGTTAATGGCATAACTTGAATTGTTGTTGATCTGGCTTTGACAAGTTTAAACCCTGGTTTATATGCAACAGCTTATGAGATCTTATCTGATGAAACGAAGAGGAAAAACTATGATCTTTATGGGGATGAGAAGGGACAGCCTGGATTTGACTCGGGTTATCCGGGAGGTAATGGTGGGTATTCATACTCCTCAAATGGTGGACAGGGAGGTGGGTTCAGTTTTGGAGGACCCGGTGGATGGCAGAACATGGGTGGTGGAGGCGGTTCCAAGTCGTTTTCTTTCTCATTTGGTGGCCCTAGTGCAAGCTCTTTTGATTTCGGGATGGATGATATATTTTCCATGTTTTCGGGCGGTGGTTCTAAAGGAAAAGATCAGTTTGGTGGCTTTGGTAGCTCATCTAAGGCTCAATCTGGATCGAAGAGCGGCAGGGTGGCTAATATCAAAACCATAACTTCTCAGGTGTATAGGAAGGAAATTATAGACCAAGGGATGACTTGGCTTGTGTTGTCTTATCTTCCATCCCAAAGGGGAACAGAGTATCATGATTCAATCATAGAGGAAGTTGCTGAGTCATTGCAAGGAGCTATAAAGGTTAACCAGTGCTTGTTGAGTTAGTTGATTTCTGATTATGGGTTTTGGTTGTAGAAGATGAAGTTTAATCTTTTTTGTTGTTTGTGTGCTTAAATTTTATGTTTACAGGTTGGGCGAATAAATTGTGAAACAGAATCCTCTCTCTGCAAACAACTTGGCATAGTTCCTCGCAGAGCTCCAAGGTTGTTTGTATGTTCTTACACATCAAGCGGCAAAGCTACTTTAGCAGAATATACCGAAGAGCTTGTTGCAAAGAAGGTGAAAAGCTTCTGCCAGGAACATCTACCAAGATTCTCAAAAAGGATTGACTTGAATACCTTCGATGTCTCTGCTGCTAACTCGCAAAGGATTCCTAAAGTTATGCTTCTGTCAACAAAGAAAGACACTCCTGTCATCTGGCGTGTTCTTAGTGGCTTGTACAATGGGCGATTTACCTTCTACAACACAGAGGTATGTTATATATTTGGATATAACTTCCACTTACATCAATATTCCTACAGGTCATAGAACTATTGGGTGGTTTTCTGGTCATGTTTTAAGACCAGACAGCAAATTTGAGCTTTGATTATATTTATTTGAGGGATTGGGTCTTCGTATTTTGGCTAAGACCCTGGTAACTCACTAGACATGTAACTTTTGAAACTAAGGCATAGTCATTTCATGATTGTGTAGGTCCATGATACTTCTGATCCAAAGATTAAAAAATTGGGAGTTGACGCGTTTCCAGCAATAGTTGGCTGGTTATCGAATGGGGAGAAGCAAGTCTTGAGAACAGGTATCACTGTGAAAAATCTGAAGTCAGCTGTCCAGGAACTTGGTAAATTGTTAGAAGGATTTGAGAAAAAGAACAAGAAAGTCTCTTCTAATAGTCAATCGGGCCAAGCACAGAGCGAATCTTTTGAAAGTATACCTCTTCTCTCGAGGCCGAATTTCGACTCCATTTGCGGGGAGAACATTCCTGTGTGTATAATTGGTGCCTTTAGATCTGCAAAGGGTAAAGAGAATTTGCAGTCGATATTGTCCAAGGTAAGCAAATACTCACCCCCTTGCTTTAGATATAGGCCTTTAATTTTCAATGAACTTCGGTTGTTTGGGGCTGTTTGGTTTTAAATTATAGTTTTGCTCGGGAGATAGATATTCTTACTAGTTTGTTTCAAATAAAATTCATTTCAAGGAATGTAGGTTTGGTTTATTTGCTCCCTCATTCTCTGCTTTGCATCCTCGTTTCACTGAAGTCACTGTTCCATAGATATATTAGCTTATAATCCCATGACTTATGAGCTTTTCCTCCAGTATGATAGTCTGGTACATTGTTTTGTCGAAGGCATAGAACGACTGTTTGATTTGGCTGTTTTTGTCATATCGTCAAGCCACTGCTTGCCTTTTTGGTTCTTTGACTTGATGATCAATATTCATCTGGCTTTTTTTTATTGTCCAGGTGTCCCAGAAATCACTATCCCGACGACAAGCTTCAGCCACGGGTTCTCAGGACACGGTATCCTATTCGCTTCTTGATGCAGCAAAACAATCATCATTCTTGAGTTCACTTGACAAGTCAGGGTTCCAAACTTCTGATAATCTCCTAATAGCTTACAAGCCTCGACGAGGTAAGTTTGCAACATTCAAAGGCAATATGACTATGGAGGAAGTTGAGAAATTTGTAGCAGCTGTTCTTAACGGAGACATACAGTTCACAAAGACAAGACAGAAACCTCAGATCAAATGAAAGGTTTTGTTTTTCGTCAAAAGTTAGTTTCAGAGATGTACATCGTTTTGTGGAGGAAAAAGAATATCAATTACTCTTTTCATGTTTCCTGTGTTGTTGCAAGCTTCTTCTGCAGATCAATTATCATACTTGCAGAGAAAGCTTTGTGTATGGTCACAGAGATTTGTAGGAACAGATTTACATAAACAATGAGTGGACTAATTTGTAATTATTATATTAGTAACATTTTCACATTAGCAATCAATTGGTTATAAAGAAAAAATCCATTGGTTATTCAAATTTAATAATTTCATTCTTCTTATTCTTGTGATTTACTTATTATAGTTTTTACTTTGAATCAAAATTGATAAAAACAGCTTATGCTTTCTTAGCAAAAAAAAAAAACAAGGCTTTGATTGGTGTTTTTGAAAGAATGGATGGTACAAACGGATAATACAAATTTGTACCATTGCTTCATGTTGTGAAATAATAAGTTTTGCTAGTTAAATTGGGATGAAGATTTTTTTGCACAATTTTGTTACCACTATTTTAAAACTTTGGTTTCTCCAAAAACCGGGAAAAAACACTAAAAATCCCGCGAACCAAACTTCCTGATTGAACCGGTCAATTTATGGTTCCAGTTTAAAACCTTCTAGGCGAGTCAGAGTGTTGATTTTTGTTCAGCAAAAGAGAAAAACCCTGATTCTTCACATTGTCGCGACTTCTGATTCTTCTCTCATCTTCTTCGCGAAATCGATTTGAAGGTATTCGTGTTACAGGTCTCAGTTTCTTTCCCCTCGACTCGTCAATTTCCAACTCAGCAAACTTCAGAAGATGGAGGACACTGAACTAGTCAGTAGCAGCGACCTGAAGGTGGACGACGCTTCAACCGAAAATCCTTCCGCTGCCGGAGCTGTTCCTCCCTCGCCAGAATCATCCGGCGATTCCGGCGACTCTGATTCAGATTCGGAGGATGAGGCCGAGTCGAATCAACA